TTCCTGACTAAATCCTTACTATTTTGTCTGCAACTGCTTCCTTGAGATCCCCAATGAAAAAAAGGAAAAAAAAGACTGGCCCAAATCCTTTTTAGTTATTTATGCCGAAGCTGTAGCCACTACAAAATAACTGTGATGTGGTTTTATAGTTCAGTTTTCTGTTGAAACTGCAGCAGAAACGCAGTGAAACCAAAGCAGTTTGCAGGCCAAGATGACTGTGTAATAAGCAAATTCAGACTGAAATAAAGCAAGACTCAGGCAGCCAGGGAGAAGCAAGTTTGCTGAGCAGTCTAGAGAGTGAAACTTGTAGAAACAAATGCATACATAGAGTTATTGGCCGGAATATTTTAAAGAGTCCAAGAGTGAACAGTGCTGGCTCTTGCACCACTCAGTCCCGTGAGGGGGCTGGGATGAGATCTCAGCAAAGCATTCTGCCATGGGCTTCGTTGTAGTTTATGAGGATTTAGAATCGTAGTCAGCAGTTTCCTCTGAAATCTCTGAGAAAATGTTGGAAGCAGCTGTGGAGAATGGAGATTTGTCATTCAGAGTCACACCAGGCTCCACTGCAGCTGAAGTAAGAGATGTCTTGGTGCTGCTCAGCTCACGTCTCCAAAGGATGCCTGGTATAGTCGAGCAAGATGGCACTGGACAAGCTCGCTCTCTTCTAGCAGCTGGCTAAAGGGAGACTGACTCAGTTGTGCAGCTGTCAGGTCAAACCAGGAGAACATTCTGGGAAAACAAGTGGAAATTTTTATGAGTAACACCAGTCTGAAGCAGCTTGCTAATAATTTACAAAGAATGGTTTTCTTCCGTCTCTTTCTTTGGTTTTTGAGAAACAATCAGATGCAGAGACTTGATTCTGAAGTGCTCCAAGCATTAGTCTGCCATGAGGAGCAAAACTAAGTGTAATGGCTCTAGCCTCACAAGCAGGAGTCCTTTCCCTCAAGCCGTGTTCCCCTGACTTAACCTCCTCAATAGCCTAGTCCATGAAGTACTGTAAGTTTGTTACCCATAAGAAATGTCCTCTCTAAATATTCACATAGGATTTTTTTTTTTTGCATTCAATACCCTAGTCCTGATCAGTGGCTTCAGACAACCCTGATAAGAAGCCAAACAGGACTCAGGGACAAAATAACTCAGGGATGGCAATCCAGGTCTTTTATTGCTAATACACCATCAAAGGCAATCTTCCCTGGCAGGTGTCTGGTCCTAAGGGCAATACACAGTTCAACACCTTCCAACCCAACAAGACAGCCCACGCTTCAGCTGTGGGATGAGGCAAGTTTCAGAGCAAAGAGGAGGGCTGGACAAGCATTATCTCAGCAATCAACCCTTCACTTACTCCTCTTGAGTCATTGAAGCAGCAAAACCTTAGTTGACAAAACTCTTGCACACAAACCATGGGCAGGAAATTTTCTGCTCTGCACAGATGGGGCAGCGTTCAGGAAAACAGAGGTCACTGAGTAATTTCAGTGCCTTCTGGTGAGGCAGGCTCTGCCACGTGCTGCTGTTCAGGGCTGCACAGAAAACGGCCACCAGCCATTCAGCATTGACTCTTATGTTCCCTGCAGGACAAACAAAATCAAATGTCAATTGCCAGAGTGCACGCAGGTGTGAAGAGATACTCTCATCTCCTGCTCCTGTGGAGAATTGCATTGGCAATCTATCAGAGCTGGTTTATTTGAAACCTCTGATCCAGGATTAAGTGAGGAGTGCTGAAATTAATAGTAACAAGTCTAGTATAGCTTGTATTTTCTGGAGCTCATTTTCACTGAGTAAACAGGAGTCCTTTACAGGCTGCGTATAAAGTCATACAACCATTCAGCCACCACAGCATGATGAGCACTCTAGCTGCTTTAAGAGCGCTCAGCAACGCAAGGATTAGAAGTGCCTGCAGAAGTGTACAATGAAATTGCGATGGACAGAGGTAGCAGCCGGCAAGAGGAACAGCACATCCGTGGAAACAGAAGTTATGCCTGAGGGATGACAAAAAGATTGTGGACCATGTTCTTGTTTAGAAAGCATATCTCAGCTCCTGCTCACTGATTTAGCCTCAGAGCTAAATCACAAAGGGAAATGGTAGCTTCTTAGAAAACTGGCGGCAGGTACATGGAGCAATGCTCATGAAAGAGAGGATGACCCTCCAGGGCACTAATCAGAGAAAACAGTGAGGGAGACACATTCTGCCTCATTTTGCCCATCCACTTCTCATGCACAACAACCCGCTTCCACACACGCTATTTCCACCCCAGCTTTAGCTGTAAAGTGGCAGGATTTCTCTAGGAGGGTTTTCTTCCCCACACTTCACTCCTAACCAGCAAAATTATCGCCAGCCCAGCCCCAGCCTTGAATCACAAAGCCAAGGGAACCACCGAGCGCAGCTCCTCGGAAGAACTGCTCCCAGGTTTGGGCAAAAAGAGAGCTTTCACCTCGGGAGCTGCAGGGACACGTTGCCCGCACCGCAGCAGGGTCTCGGAGCGCCGCTGGGACTGTCCCCTTCGGCCCCCACTCATCGAGAGGGTCCTGGCCGGAGCACTCGTACTGCGGCCTCACGATGGCACTGTAGCAAAGGAGTTGCTTCAACCTGGAAGAAAGAGGAGGCAGCCGAAATGAGCGTAGCGGGAGAGGGAGAGGATGTTCCCGCAGAGCCCCGGCTGTGCTGTGCACTGGAGCAGGTGGCCAGGCAGGATCGTGGGGTTTTAAGGTCCTGCGTGGGGGAAACTCGGAGGAAGCCACAGAGGCGATCCCACTGCACCATCCCTGGCTGAGTCAGCAGTTGTTGGGATTCATCCCATCAGCGTTTCTTATAACGATTTCTCTCCAACAGCCATCCTCATCAGCTAGCAAGGTTCTTCCTATTTGATGGACCCTCATTGCCTTGTGATAAAGATAATCCATGGGCCTTACCACTGCCAATGGAGAGATGGCCACAGTAGGATTGTTAATTTTGTCATGTAATGGTCTGTTTAAAAAAAAAAAGTATTAAAAAGGAGGGGAAGGGTAAAAGTAATGTGTAAAAATAATCCCTTGCACGTTGTCCCTTAGTGCACATAGGTCATACCACAACTGCAGGAGCACAGGAACACATCGAGGTCCAAGTCCCTCCCTACTGCAGGCAGATTCCCTCAAGCAAGAGCTCTCCTATCTCTCCTCTTCCCTCTCCAGCTGGATCCCCACTACTTTTCTGCCCTCCCTCAGCCCTGCAATCACCCAGGTTTAGCTGATGGGGAAGAAATTAGGTCTAGCTGGCAAGGTGGAGGAAGCAGTTATCATTTGCAGGATCAGATAGTCAAGGTCAGGCTTGATGGGGCTTTGAGCAACCTGATCTGGTAACATTGTCCCTGCTCACTGCAGGTGGATTGGACTGGATGACCTTTAAAGGTCCCTTCCAACCCAACACATTCTATGATTCTATGATCTGCAAACCTTTTACAGGTAAACAGCCTCACCCGCAGCATGAAAAACAGCATCACATTTGGCCCCTCAGTGGTCACCTCAGCAGAAGGCCTGCACTGCAGGGGCTGGGCACCCCCAGGGGTCAGGAGCAGGGGTACAGGTCATACCCCTGCACTCAGAGCCCTGAGGAGAGTACAGCAGCAGCTTAAAGTGGAACACACCACACTGGGTTGGCTTTTTTGACCATGGAGAGTGCAAGCTGCTTCTTTGCACCTTGTTTTCTGCGCTGCCTCATGGCAGGTTATCTTGCAGTGATAATCTGAAGCCCTATCAGGAGTGGGGTTTCAATGCCAGCTCTGTGATTGATCTGGAGTTCCCTTGATGCCTTTTGATCATGTTTCAGGTTTATAGCCACAAAGTCTACAACTTCCTCTAGACAAACAGAGCCGAAACTCTAAAGTGTTCCCGTGACTCCAGCAGTTGGAGACTTGGGGAAGTGGCCAACCATGACAAGGTTTGCAATGATATTTCACAATAAAATTGTGAGAGGCAGTAAGTTCTTGCCCCATGAGGTCCCAAGGCATGATGACATGGTCTGTTTTACCTGAGGTGGTGACGAGGCTGTGCACAACGCAGGGTTTCTGGATGGCAGGGCAACGACAGAGCAGAAGGACGGCATCTCTTTAGTTTGCAGAAGAGGAGACTG